ATTTACAAAAGTTGTGTGTTCAATGATCAACTGAATTAATTAATTTACAGTATTCTGCCAAAGCACTACAGCAGCTACATTTTACTTTGTGTACTGTAGCATTTTACTTTTTAACATACAGTATCTCTTATCCAGAGGCCAAACGTTCCCCTCTGATTCTTTCATTACAAAGCATCAATCTACTCCTTCTTTTTCTGGTTATTTTTTGGTGATTTCATCAAGCACCACTGGAGGAAGGCATGCTGCAACTGAAGATTTGAACTTGCTGGATACATCTTTGGGTAGATATTTTGTGTAACTTTGATACTGTATTTAATTATTTTTGAGAAGGTATGACTTGGTGATGTTTCTGTGTTAGCCAATGAGAGCATTTGAGTAGGTATGCTGTTACCCAGGACAAATAGCAGTGGGAAATGTATCTACAAATCTATATGAGCCAGCAGTGTGCTTAAATAGGAGCCAGCCGTGTGCTGCAGCTGCCAAAAAAGCCAACACAGTGCTGGGCTGCATTAACAGAGGGATAGAATCAAGATCACGTGAAGTATTAATACCACTTTACAATGCCTTGGTAAGGCCACACTTGGAATCCTGCATCCAGTTTTGGTCACCACAGTGTAAAAAAATGTTGAGACTCTAGAAGAGTCCAGAGAAAAGCAACAAAGATGATCAGGGGACTGCAGGCTAAAACATATAAGGAACGGTTGCTGGAATTGGGGATGTCTAGTTTAATGAAGAGAAGGATGAGGGGGGACATGATAGCAGCCTTCCAATATCTCAGGGGCTGCCCAAAGAAGAGGGAGTCAAGCTATTCTCCAAAGCACCTGAAGGCAGGACAAGAAGCAACGGGTGGAAACTAATCAAGGAGAGAAGCAACCTGGAACTAAGGAGAAACTTCCTGGCAGTTAGAACAATTAACCAGTGGAACAACCTGCCTCCAGAAGTGGTGAATGCTCCAACATTGGAAGTTTTAAAGAAGAGACTGGACAGCCATTTGTCTGAAATGGTATAGGGGTTGGACTAGATGACCTCCAAGGTCCCTTCCAACATCATCATTATTATTAGTGACTTAATTAAGCTTTAACTAAGTCCAATTAAAACAAACATTCCGGTGATTGAAACACCCCCAAAAGTATTCTGAGCCAACATTCTCTTGTTTGGATTAGAAAAAAGTAGATTTAGTAACCGGTGGTTATTTCTATTACTGGCAATGATTTCAACGAAACATTTGATGTACCTGTTGATTAATGTTGTGTATTATCTTGGTGGTATCTTAGTCTACTTCACTTAAAGAACTGCTTCGGTGCTTGCTGGAAGTGCCCATCCAAGGTAATGCCAAAAAATTTCAGTTAGGTTTTAGTTAGGGCTTCCGAATTGTGGAAATTTCTGCTGCTTCAGCCATTCTGGTGGATTTGCGTCATTGTTATAACTGTATGACCCACACTCACACTTTCAGTTCATGGGCAGAAATCAACATTCTTCTGTGGAATACCCTGGTACAATCTGGAATGCATTGTTCCTTTCACAACTGTAAGCCACTGGTGCCCTTAAGGCTGCGGGGCATTACTTTTCAGAGTTTGCTTTTATTGTTCTTTTATTGAAATTTAACATTTTGCTCATTCAAGTATTTCTCTCACTAGTGCTAGGAAGTTCCACTTTTCTATCTCCTGTTTTAATACTCTGCTGGATCGTTTAGATCAGGGGTCTTCAAACTTGGCCCTTTTATAACTTGTGGACTTCAACTCCCAGAATTCCTCAGCCAGACAATACAAGAATAGTCTGCAGATTCTTTACCATTATACCTTATTTTGGGAGGTAATTTTTACTGGATGACCACTCCTATAAAGGATAACAATTCTCATTTCTTCTGTTGATACTCCTTTTGTCTAACTGCAGGATAACAGAGGGCAAAGCCTTTAGAAATGCTTTTACAGACTTTGCCAGTCTCATCATTATTTCTGAGATTTACAAAAGTCTGTTTTGATCCAAGCATGGTACACTTCCAAAAACCCATGGGACAAAGAGAGGCCAATCGCTGTGGCAATCTACTAAGTATGTTGTTCTTTTACACTGGAGACCCCTGAAATCAACATCATACTGTCATCTAATTGAATGAAACCTCTGACTCAAATTACCTCCTAAGAACTTTCACTACTGCAGATGTGAAACACTACACTATGCTTATTTAGTCAGGAGCATAAATAAAACTCAGCTCTTTCCCAAGTCTTTGGGTTAGGGTGCTTGATGTTCCTGTTTTAAGGTTGTGGATGAGATGGAAGAATGCATTTCTAATTTGCAGACGACACCAAGCTGGGAGAAATAGCCAACACTCCAGAAGACAGGCTTAAGATACAGAAGGATCTGGACAGACTTGAACACTGGGCACTAACTAACAAAATGAAATTCAATGGTGAAAAAAGCAAGGTTCTACATTTAGGCAAGAAAAACCAAATGCACAAGTACAGCATAGGTGGCACCATGCTCAATAGTAGTAACTGTGAGAGGGACCTCGGAGTCCTAGTAGACAATCACCTAAATATGAGCCAGCAGTGTGCTGCAGCTGCCAAAAAGGCCAACACAGTGCTAGGCTGCATTAACAGAGGGATAGAATCAAGATCACGTGAAGTATTAATACCACTTTACAACGCCTTGGTAAGGCCACACTTGGAATACTGCATCCAGTTTTGGTCACCATGATGTAAAAAAGATGTTGAGACTCTAGAAAGAGTACAGAGAAGAGCAACGAAGATGATTAGGGGACTGGAGGCTAAAACATATAAGGAACAATTGCTAGAATTGGGTATGTCTAGTTTAACGAAGAGAAGGACAAGGGGGGACATGATAGCAGTATTCCAATATCTCAGGGGCTGCCATAAAGAAGAGGGAATCAAGCTATTTTCCAAAGCGCCTGAAGGCAGGACAAGAAGCAATGGGTGGAAACTCATCAAGGAGAGAAGCAACCTAGAACTAAGGAGAAACTTCCTGACAGTGAGAACAATGAACCAATGGAACTACTTGCCTCCAGAAGCGGTAAATGCTCCAACACTGGAAGTTTTTAAGAAGAGACTGGACAGCCATCTGTCCGAAATGGTGTAGGGTTTCCTGCCTGAGCAGGGGGTTGGACTAGATGACCTCCAAGGTCCCTTCCAACTTTACTACTACTACTACTACTATTATTATTATCTGTTCTCTTGGGTCAGTATTGTTCTTTTTATATGTAATATTTTCTTTTTAATTTTGAGAAACTGCCAAAGTCATTTTACAGAGTTGAGTTAGATGGCCCAGAAATATGAACAAATAATAGATGAATTTTCAGTGATACTGTTAGGTCCTGGGGTTCCATTTACTTTTTAAAGTGTGGCTCTAAGCTGATGCACATTGGATAACTGAGAAAGCTAAAGAATACAAAAAAAAAAAAAAAAGGTTGTGTGCTTCACTGATTATAGAAAGGCCTTAAATTGTGTCAATCCCATCAAGTTGTGATATGCGTTTAGAAAAACGAGAATCCCGAAATATCTCATTATCTTCATGTGAAACCTATAAATATTCAGGAAGTATGGATCAAACATGGAGAAACAGACAGGTTCCAGGGGATTGGACTAGATGACCTCCAAGGTCCCTTCCAACTTTATTATTGTTATTATTATTATAACTTTGGTAGTGGCTAGTTGACTAGTACAGGTAGACCTCAACTTACGACAATGAAGCTCAAAATTTTTGTTGCTAAACAAAACAGATGTTAAGTGAATTTGGCCCCATTTTACGACCTTTCCTGCCACAGCTGTTAAGTGAGTCCCTGCAGTTGATTGGTTAGTAACCTGGTTGTTAAGAGAATCTGGCTCCCCCATTCTCTTTGCTTGTCAGAAGGTCGCAAAAAGGGATCACATGACCCGGGACATTGCAACCATCATAAATACGAGCCATGTTGCCAAGAGTCTGAATTTGGATCATGTGACTTTAGGAATCCCATAATGGTTGTGTGGAAAAATAGTCATGTCATTTTTTCAGTGCTGTTGTAACTTTGAATGGTCACTAAATAAACCGTTTCTACCTGTATAAGATCTCATCTCCAGCCCATCTACGCACTGGCTTTTAATCTCTTTTCGTAGCAATTCTAATGTTTTAGCTTATTCTATTCCTATTCTATGTTTCTATTCTATTCCATATTTTCTATTCTATTCTATTCTATTCTATTCTGTTCCATATTTTCTATTCTATTCTATCTTGTATTTCTAGTCTATTCTGTTCCATATTTTCTATTCTATTCTGTATTTCTATTCTATTCCATATTTTCTATTCTATTCTATTTTGTATTTCTAGTCTATTCTATTCCATATTTTCATTCTATTCTGTGTTTCTATTCTATTCCATATTTTCTATTCTATTCTGTTTCTATTCTATTCTGAGTTTTATTCTATTCTATTCTATTCCATATTTTCAATTCTATTGTTCCATATTTTCAATTCTATTCTATTTTGTATTTCTAGTCTATTCTATTCCATATTTTCATTCTATTCTGTGTTTCTATTCTATTCCATATTTTCTATTCTATTCTGTTTCTATTCTATTCTGAGTTTTATTCTATTCTATTCTATTCCATATTTTCAATTCTATTGTTCCATATTTTCTATTCTATTCTATTCTATTCTATTCTATTCTATTCTATTCTATTCTATTCTATTCTATTCCATGTCTGAATGTTTTAATCTTATAATTTCTTTATTGTTATTTACAGTATTGTAAGTAGCCCTGAGGCGCACGGTAGACAGATGAACAGCGTAGAAATGTAATAAAATACATAAAAACGAGGGCAGGCCATCCCTTTCAGCACGCCTTAAGTAACAAAACGGAGTGCAGTACAACACCCCCTACTTTGAGATTTGTGCAGAAGAGCATTACACCGAAGGGACTCATCCCTGTTCTCCAACACAAACATACACCCACAAATACACGGGCCTGTCAGCCTGCCAACCCTTCCCCTTTCAGAAGGCAGTTACACCCACCTCACTAGGCCTCAAGCCTTCCCCGGCGTTAATCTGTCCCGCTCCGAGCCCAAGGCGGGGTCCGAAAGGCAGAAGAAGGCGCCGGCAGGTTTCCTCACAGGAGCCTTCCCGCCCGCCATGGGGGGAAAAAAGCCTTCGCCGCTCAGCTCGGCGATTCGCAGGCTCGGACGTCGTGAGGGGGGGAGGAAAAAACAAAAACAACCGAATCCGCTCGGTCTCCTCAGGGAAAAAACGACGCCGTCGCCGGCGAATGACGACACGGCGAGCTCCTCCTCCTGGGCTCCGCCCACAGCCCGGCGCCGCGCCGCGCCGCACGCGCCCCACCCCCGCCCTCTCCACTATGACGGAGAGGAAGAGGCCGGCTCCGGGAGTCGCAACGCGCATGCTCGGCGCGGCCGCCATTTTGGACGGGCCGCCGGAGTTTCTCCCGCGGTGGCGGCGGTGGTGACGGTTGGCGGCGGAGCTCGGCCCGGCTCGGCGGCGGCGGGAGCGACCTGGGTTTCGGCGGGTCCCGCTGCCGAGATGGCCAACATCGCGGTGCAGCGGATCAAGCGGGAGTTCAAAGAAGTGCTGAAGAGCGAGGAGGTCAGGCTTCCACCCCCCCCCCGGTTCTGCCCTCCCCGGGGCGGCGGGGAGGGGGCCTCATCCTGGCCCTGGGTCCCCGGCCTGCCTTTCGTCTCGGCTGCCCGGGGGGGAGAGCGCTCAGGGGGCCTGCTGGGGCTTCTCCTTCTGCAGGGGACGGGGCGAGGTCTTGGGGGGGGGCAGCCCAATGGGGGGGGGCAAGCAGGCAGGTTGAGGGGAGGGGGGTAGGTCTACCCCTCCCCCATCCTTTCCCTTTCCCCTTGAAAGGGAAAGGATTTTTTAAATCCTTTCCCTTTCAAGGGGCTGATTCCCCCCCCCCAAAATCCCAATTTAAAGGCTGCTGAGCCCTTGAAGTGTCAGGCCTCGTTTTAGAGGTTTTTGGGGGGGGGGATATGTGTAATTTTCTGAATTGTTCGAAGCCTCAGCATCCTCGCCAGCTAGGTACCAGGTGATGGGGAGTTCTAGCTCCTCGGGCACCAAAGCCAGCTGGGGGGGGCCTTTGGGCCGATCCTCAGGAGGTTGGGAGTTTCAGAGGCCTGCCCTAAGGGGAGAAAGGTGGGGGGGGGGCTTTGGGCCAGTCGCCGGGAGACTGGGAGTTCTAGTCTTGTATATGGCCTAGATTAGAAGCTGGCTGGGGGCCTTTGGGCCAGTCAGCAGGAGATTGGGAGTTCTAGTCCTGTGTATGGCGTAAAAGCTGGCTGGGGGCCTTTGGGCCATTTGCCAGGAGGCTGGGAGTTCTAGTCCTGTATATGGCCTAGATTAGAAGATTGCTGGGGGCCTTTGGGCCAGTCAGCAGGAGATTGGGAGTTCTAGTCCTGTATATGGTGTAAAAGCTGGCTGGGGGCCTTTGGGCCAGTCACCAGGAGATTGGGAGTTGTAGTCCCGTATATGGCATAGAAGTTGGATGGATGCCTTTGGGCCAGTCAGCAGGAGGCTGGGAGTTCTAGTCCTGTATATGGCGTAAAAGCTGGCTTGGGGCCTTTGGGCCAGTCAGCAAGAGGCTGGGAGTTCTAGTCTTGTATATGGGCTAGAAGCTGGTGGGGGCCTTTGGGTCAGTTGCGTTTTAGTTCTGTCTTGGCAGCAACTAAAGGGTGCCTTTGGTTAGGCCGTTCCCTCTTTCTCAGCCTGACCCACCTCACAGGGTTGTGGTTGTTACAGGGAAAATAGGAGGATGAAGGAACCTTAGGTATCTTTAACCACCTTGAGTTACTTATACAGTAATAAAGGCAGGATAAAAATCTAATGAGAGAGCCAATCTTTCTCTTTCCATTTATCGGCCCAGCAGTCTTTCATCTAGGTTGGGATGTGTCCTTACAGGCCTGCTCCTCCATCCAGTTGACCAGGTCAGAGGAAGTTTTTTCCAGTGGGATTTAAGTTAAAAGGAGCGTCATGTGCCCTGGTTGCTGAGGGTTTATCCTGGCAGCGTAATCTGGGGTCTTTGTGGAAACTTGCCTTGGACCTTTACAGATTGGCTAAGAGCTTGAGCAAGCCAGAAATATAAATTAGCACTAAGGAAGGAAGGAAGGAAATTACAAAGGCCTAGGTGTTGGTGTAGTAGTCTATTTAATTGCAGTGAGTAAGCCTTAAACTATGGTCTGTTTGCTGGCCTCCTGTGTACAAAAAGCTAAGCCCAAAACAAGTCAACAACATACCTTAATGCGGTGCATGGATGGTGTATTAAAATGCATGGGCTGTGGGAAGCTGTACTAGAATGTACCAACTATTGGAAAAATTATTGACCGCCAAATATATTTAAGATGGAGCACCTATATTTCCCTATTACACAGATATGGAAAGAATCAGATGTAATTATAACCTATATAACCATTGATTGATTAAAAGAACTGTTTGTTTCACACTTTAAATGTTCATGAGTAAAATTGCTATTTGGAGGAGCATTCATTGAGAGGATTTCTTTTTTTTTAAAAGATTCTTCTCAATACTTACATAATGGGTTATAAAAATTGACGGAGCACACATTAAAAAGCAGTTCTTTCATTTCAAAATATATTCTGTTGGCGTTGTGTATTATCAATTAGCATGATGTTCTTTCCAAAGGCCCTTTATCTCTTCATTCATATGTTCTTAGTCCACTGATATATACATATCTAATACAATATTGGCACAACTGATAATAGTAAAAAAGTGAGCGTTATAATGCATTAGATTTGTATCCTGGTCTTACTCCAATTTATTCAGAGTGCTATGTATGGTCTTAGTCTGCTCTTTTCCATTACTGTAATTCAGCGCTATTTTCACTTATTTTCACCAAATGTGAAGTATTTTGAACAAGATACTACTCAGTATTCAATACTAGTTTATTTTACAACTAAGAAATTTTTTATTCCATCCCTGACATAGATTTAGGGTGGTAATAATTCTGCTCTTCCTCAACATTAGTAAAATGTCAGCCAGATAGAAATAGATCTTTCCTTCCGATGGAATATATTTTCCTGAAATGTAAGCACTGAACTCTGAAACAATGTTTAATGTTGTATGTTAAAACAAAGATAATTGAAAGAAAGTAAAATAAGCTCGGGAACTAGCACTGAACACCTTGAAAGTGCCATTTTTCAACTTTATTGTATAAAAAGATCCAGTCAACCCAATTTTTAAATTTATTTCTATAACAGCTATAAAATAAATCCCAACAAAGATGTATCCCATCGTGGTTTAAGGAGCTTTAGCTTGCTTCTACGTTAACTTTTCAAGCATGGGGTGCACAGATAGTCCTTGACTTACAACAGTTCGCTTAGTGACTATTCAAAGTTGCAACGGCATTGAAAAATCTGACCTATGAACCTTGTTCACACTTACGGCCATTGCAGCATCCCCCCATGGTCATGTGACTAAAATCCAGATGCTTGGCAACTGGTTCATATTTATAACTGTTGCTATGTCCCATGGTCCTATGTTCATCCTTTGCCACCTGACAAGCACAGTCAATGGGGAAGCCAGATTCACTTAACCATGTTACTATTTTAACTGCAGTGATTCACTTAACAACAGTAATAATAATAGAGTTGGAAGGGACCTTGGAGGTCATCTAGTCCAACCCCCTGCTCAGGCAGGAAACCCTATACTATTTCAGACAAATGGCTGTCCAGTCTCTTCTTAAAAACTTCCAGGGTTGGAGCATTCACAGCTTCTGGAGGCAGGTTGTTCCCCTGGTTAATTGTTCTCACTGTCAGGAAGTTTCTCCTTAGTTCTAGGTTGCTTCTCTCTTTGGTTAGTTTCCATCCATTCCATCCCACTGTGACAAGAAAGATCGTAAAATGGGGCAAAATTCATGTAACAAATGTCTCACTTAGCAACAGAAATTTGGGGCTCAGTTGTGGTTTTACGTCGAGGACAACCCCATCTAACATTCACTTAACAAAACCTGGTTTATATAGCTGGATGGAGAATCACACTTCTAGAAAATTGGGAGTGCTTGTAAACGGGCTGCTTTCTAAAGGACATTTGAATTCATAATTTACGTAAGGATGTGATGTCTGTATCTGTCCTTGTTTTAGTAGAAAATTTATCGGTAATAATTGGCAGGAATTATCTGTTTTTTACAATGGTTTTAAATTCTGGAGATAGTATTCATTTGATTGAAGTAGTTTTTCCCTCAATATTGCCATCCTAATGTCAGCTGAGCAAAGAAAAATGAAGGAGCTGGTAATGCTGTTTCTAAGAGGTCCTTTGTGCTCTCTAAACCTGGTTGGTTTCTTGCAGGTTTTCATGACCCAAACCTAGATAACGTCATCAGCGCTAGGGCTGTTTCTGCATTACCAACCGTAAAGCAGTTTTAAGTTTTAAAATCGGGACCAAGATGCATAGTATATGATCTGTGCTATCTGGCCATGGATGGAGTTGGTCAGCCATCATCCAGTTCAGCGTCCTCTAAAAACTAGAGTAAGCTGCTGATAATTTGGAAAAATAAAAGCTGGATTCATATTTGTAAACAGCAGACTTACTGTCTCTTACCCAACTGGGCTAAAAAAAAAACCACTAAAATCCTTTTGGAGGCGGGTCTCCTGGTCCACGATGCATCAAAGCAGCCACAAACCATATCATTTCCACCATCCCCCATGCTTTATTGTTGGTAATTGGGTTCTTCTGATCAAATGCTGTCTTTGGATCTCACCAAGAAGTCCAAAGGGCCAAACAATTGTTGAATCTCCAGACCAAATTGTTCCAGAGGTTCCGGTCTTTATCTAGATCAGAGTCTCTCAACCTTGACCATTTTAAGGCATGTGGACTTCAACTCCCAGAATTCCACAGCCAGCGTTGCTGGCTGTGGAATTCTGGGACTTGAAGTCCACATGCCTTAAAATGGTCAAGGTTGAGAAACACTGATCTAGATGCTCATAAGCAAACTTTAGTCTTGATGTTCTTTCTGGACATCTCCTCTGCAGGTATTACTTGTGCAGCCCTTTCTAGTGGAAGACTTAACGCACTTTGATACTAGTAGTAGGAAGTAGTAGGTCGCGTGTTGAAATAGAATAGAATGGAGCTGGAAGGGACCTTGGAGGTCTTCTACTCCAGACAAGTGACTTGTCTTCTTAAAAATCTCCAATGATGAAGTGCCCATGATTTCTGGAGGCAAGCTGTTCCACTGGTTAATTGTCCTCATTATCAGGAAGTTTCTCCTTAGTTCCAGGTTGCTTCTCTCCTTGGTTAGTTTCCATCCATTGTTTCTTGTCTGCCTTCAGGTGCTTTGGAGAATAGATTGACCCCCTCGTCTTTGTCACAGCCCCTCAAATACTGGAATACTGCTGTCATGTCAACCCTGTTCCTTCTCTCTTTTTTGAAATACAATGAAAAAGTTAAAACGAATCGATGGGGTGTGCTTGTTGACATGCCTATAAATTTTACTGAACATAGCAATAATTCTTTATAGATTGATTCAGTTTTTTTAAAAGCACATAGCTACAATCTTCGTTTCCTTTTATCTGGAATAGGTTTCACTAAAAAAAAACAACTATTTCATGAAGTCTTTTAAACACACAATGTAA